CCACAGCTCCTTTCACAAGAGTTAGCAAATTCTGTTAGCGAATGATGGTGCCCTAGGACAGGGGTCCCCAACCTATAGGCTGCAGCCCGATAATGGGCTGCAGGGTCTTGACCAGTAGGCCACAGAAATGGCTGCCCGTGGTGCGCATATGTGTGTCATTTGTGTGTGTGTGTGCGTGCGCAGTAATTTGGAAGTCGCTCTCCCCTCCAAGGTTGGAGAACTCTGAGCTAGGATAGAGAGTGGGTCACCCAAAATTAAATGAGGTCTGAGGAAATGGCTTCTTATGAGGTCCTCTCGTGTTTAAAGATAAGGAGTTCATGTTAATAGGCCATGCTGGCATTAGCACTGAATGGGGAGTAGGATGGCATTTCTTTCTTTAAAAAACAAGGACAAAGCCTTGAATTTTGTAAAAAAATGTTCACATTCTCACCTTTTATATCACCCCCAGCACAGAACACTTTTTCACCAGCTCCCTTTATTAATATTAAGAAAGTCTCAGGATCCTGCTCCCACTTCTGAAAGAAATATTGTGAAAGACCATGTCAGAGCATTAGACATTTTAAATGTGCTGTCTCTTCTTTCAAATTATGCAATACACATAAAAGTCACGTAGATCAATGCTGGATTGTCCAGAATGAATAGAAAGCCAAAGCATTCGAACTGTTTGTAGCAGGCCTGGGGAACATTGTCTATTGTCAGCCTCACTCAAATAGACCAGTCCAGGAAATCAACTCCACAGGAAGGCTAAAACTACTGGCTATAATAACAGAATCTTTTTGCTGTACCTACTCCCTCTTTCTATAATTCAGTAAAGCAGAAAGGTGTTTATCTGACCCTACCAAATTTTACCTCAATTCTCAGTCTTAAAAAAAAGATTCAGTCTCTTTTGCCTAGGTAACTGTTCCTGCATATTTCCATCCGGGACATCCTGACTGTATACACTACCCTGCATTCCCAATCACTGTGTTTTCGGAATAAGAAATTGTAATTCAGCAATATATGGAACTCACAATTTTCTATCTATCGCACAGTCCTAGGAATGTCTTTTTGAAAGTCAGTCAAATCTATTCGTACTCCCAGATAAAAATGTGTATGGTAAAGTTCAGGAATAGAGTGTATAAAACTGAAACCTTGTAAATACTGCAGCTCTACTTATTGAACTATGGCCAAGGACAGGCCTTTTCTATTGGTACCCTTTGGAACATCCTCCCACTTGAGATTAGATTGGGACTGACCCCATACAACTTTTGGAAAGCTCTTATGACCTGGCTATTCTGGGCATGGGTCAGTAGGTGAGGTGTGCCCGAGTTAATTACTGTTGGATGATGTATTCTTGGTTGTAATTTTTTTCTTTTCTTTGATTTTCTTACGTTATGATATATGTTTCTTATTTCTGTTATTTAATTTTGCTGTTTGGAAGTGGCATTTTGCCACAAGTGGCATTTTGCAAGATGAGCAACCATATAAATCAAATCAAATCAAATCATAGCAAGTAACACAGAGGATTGAAAGACATTTTTTCCTTCTTAGAATATCCATGAAAAAGAGGCTAGATTAGCACATTAGACTTCCATCTCTCCTCACCTTTTTCCACCATACAAGCCAGCATGCAAGAGGTACAAACCATCATGATAGTTACGTCCCTTCCTCAAAAAAAGCTGGTAAGAAAGTGAACCCACTATGATGGCCCAAATGGAGCTTTTCTCTGAACAGAGCATCCATACAAGCAAGGAGAAAAGCATACTATTTCCATTTCTCCCTATCTCATAGGCGCCTCATTTTTCTGAAGGGAGCAGAGGATACCAAATGAGGAAGATGAAGATGCTCTTGCAGTCAACATATTTTATCACAAGCCTCATAACATCATTACTATAATCTCAAGCCATGCCATGAATGTCCCACTGAAGACCTGTGTCACAAACAGAACTTTCATCTCTCTTCAACGCACTGCTTCTTCACAGAATGTATTTACACTTTTAGTGGCAAAGTGCATGGAGCAATCAATGTCAGCTTGACTGGAAGTGCCATCATTGTTTAGCTAGTCTCATATGTCTTCTGTCAAACCATTCATCAATCGTTTTACAGGCAGACCTCAATTTACAACAGATTATTTAGTGACCGTTCAAAGTTACAATGGCACTGAAAAAAGTGACTTTTTTTCCACACTTACGACTTTTGTAGCATCCCCATGATCAGGTGATCAAAATTCAGATGCTTGGCAACAGACTCATACTTATGACCATTGCTATGCCCCAAGGTCATGTGATCACCTGTTGTGATCATCTGACAAGCAAAGTCAATAGGGAAGCCAGATTCACTTAACAACCGTGTTACTAGCTTATCAACTGCAGTGATTCACTTAACAACCATGGCAAGAAAGGTTATAAAATGGGACAAAACTCACTTAACAAATGTCTCACTTAATAACAAAAAACTTTGGGCTCAATTGTGGTCATAAGTCGAGGACTACCTATATTTTAAATGTTTTGGTATTGTGGTAACTTTTGTTTTAATATAAAGCCACCAACCTTTAACTGGGGATAGATCTGTCGAATCATGGAAATAGTAAATGCATTCAGAGCCTTTGGTCTGTTCATGGTAATAATGCCAGCACACCCTCTTTTTTCAAGCAGAACCTCAGCTGAAGAATCCTTAGATCCAGTCATACTCTGTATGGAATGACAAAGATTTTAAATAAGCTGATGCTTCAATGCCAATCTGTAATTCTGCAGAAGATCTTAAAGACATAATTAATTAGTACATACTAAAAATTGCTATTTTTAAGACAAAAGAGCAAAAAACTGCAGAAGTACCCAAAACTGACTATAAGAACCTCCACCAATTTTGAACTGAGTACTCCAGAACATAGAACTGTTTTTTACATATCTTACAATACCTTTGGGTTAACTCTTGCTTTTAATTCATGTCATTCTAACATTGTCAAATATACCCAACTGATTACAGAATTGAGTTTTGTCTAAGAGATTCCATAGTTTAGTAAGTTTATAAGCCAAGGTGAAATCACTAGGAACCTGTCAACTATTTTATAATATTCTTCATTCTGCTTCATATATTTGGCTTGAATAAGACTAAATTATTACTTTTACATTTTTAAAAAGTAATGTTGTTTAACTATCTGAGGCTCTTCAGATTTTACCCTTATCTCTTCTTGAAACAAAAAACTACCAGATGATAATTCTGTCAGAAACATTCAATACATTCCAAAAGTATTTTCCTTTTGTTCTTTGGGAGTGAAGAATTAGTCTGTGCATTCTGGCTATTTTGTTTGAAACAAATTTTTATTCACCCAACTTGCAGAAATGTCCATACTCACTAAGTGTCGTAGTGTGATTTGCAACCTGTTGAAAGGTGTAAACCTGAAACAAGAAACTCAAGGTCAGACATATCTCTGCCACAGCAAATGTAAATACATAAAACAAATTATGTATTTTTGTTAGACATGCATTTCATTCCACTGCACATTTCTCAAAATAATACATCCATTTAATGTAGTTACAATGTTTCCAGTATACTATACAAAGATTTTTTCCCTTCTATTGCTCTGATACAAACAGTATATAACTTCAAGAATACTGGCCAGATATATGGGACTTTACATGACTGTGGTATATTTTTGGAACCATATTTTTCTCCTAATGTCCTTTCTCTACTGTTTCCCCCGAAATACTCTAGGATCTGGGATTCCATAAAATGACATAAAACATGTGAAATACATTTGTACTAATTAATAAAATCCATCTTTTTAAGATTTTTTTTATCCTGTCTTAATTATTTTTATACATAAGCCTTTTTATATTTTATATTATAAATCTATTCTTTCTCGCTACCATAATTTTCCACAAGGCATGGATCTTATCCAACTAGCAACATACATATATACATATACATACATACACACACAACGCAAAGCCCGATTCTCTATTCCAATTTCCAAACAAGTTAACACAGATATATATGTTTTTGTTTATTTTATAGCAGGAAATTAATTGTCTCTGCATTTGGATGCAGGGCAAGCTTCAATGGTCTCAGATCAATGCTTAATCCTGCAACGCAAATTCGGTTGATAAATCAAATGTTTGCTTTAAGTCTGGCAGCCAAGAAGGCTCCACCCACATTTGCACTGCTCAGGTGAGGACACAAATAAACCTCCAAATGGCCTCAATGACTCTCTAAAATGAATGCAAATGACCAGCTCTCTGCAAGGAATGTAAATTCTTCCATTCCCCACCATCCAGAAGCTTCCTGGATGAGAAGCGAAACGCCTTCAAAGAAAAACAAATGAGTCAAGTTGCCCCCTGGAAAAAGCTTTTACAGTTCAAGTTTCCTTAGAACTAGGAACATCGATTCAGCCTTTTATTACCATGCGCAAGTGCAAGTGCAATGCGATGCATAAGAAGATTTTTTCACCGTTTTGGTGCTCAGAATCAGGACGACTGAAAGTTATTTTTGCTCGTTTGCAGCGCGTTATGCATTTAGAGAGGGAGCAACTGTAATCTACGCTGGACGCCCAGCTGACACCGTCTCTCTCTCTGCACGCAACATGAGACTTGATCTTATTCAAAACGGCAAGAGTTCAATGATCAGAACTCCGAACTCGGTGGGACGTTTAAGTAAATGCCCGGGGAAAACGCGACCGCTCAGAGCAAGCGTCTACTCCATCCTACTAAGGTCGTCGAAACTGAAAGTAGCCTTTCCCCTCAGTCGTCGGAATCTACCTGGGAAGACACGTCCGCACCACAGGGGTCACCGGTAGCCCCATCACGCCACCGCCTGTTCACACCTCGCCCAAACAAGGAGCTGCCGAGAAGGCGCGCCCTGATGACATCATCTAAGTGCGCTGGAAAGGCTCAGTGCCTGCTGCCGACTAACACGTGTAAAGGAAGCTAGCAGAAGCTAAACTAAGCGAACCGGGGAACCGTCTCGTGCTTTGGAGCAGGAATCTCTGCATTTGGATTAATTCTCCTGGCGCAGAAGCGGAAGTCTCTCGCAGAGGGTAACTTTGTCATGTACTCCACGTTTCACTTTAAGGATGGAGTACAAGAGGCATTCAACAATCACGCATCGCTGGCCATATGGCGGTGGCAGTTCGTGGTCGATTTGAGTTTACAGCTAAATATCCCTCCCCTGTGTCAAAACAGCTATTCATCTGTGCTTTCAGCGGTTCAAAAAATGCATTTCAGGCATGGACATTTCACTCAGCCGTAGGAAAAAGCAGGCAAAGGCAACCCATTTCCGAAAAACTTTTACCAAAAAAACTGCAGGAACTGTTACATCAGCTGCTTCCAAGAATCAACACTGACTCGAAGGGGTAAAAAAAAAAAAAATCTTATTTGGTGGAGGAAAGGGTCAGCTGGTAGGATCAGGTCACCAATACATCCGATAGAAATCTGGATCTTACCCATATTCCCCAGTGTTGTCTTTCCTGATATGGGGGGGACCAATGCTAAAAAATTAATTGCGCACAAAAAGAAGAGTTCCTAAAACCGAGAAGCACAGTATTGCTTTGATTTCGTTTTTTGTGAATGAAATGACTTGGGAACATATTTCAGAGTTCTCCTTCAAAGAGCTCTGGACTGTTGTATAGGACGACCCCTGGTGGTAATTAAAGCAACTGCGGTAACCCGAAGAAAGATGAAGAATAGAATTAGAAGATTTCATAATGAATAGTAGTATGAATCTGCTATCCACTGACATATATAAAGAAAAACAGGAATAGTGCATTAGGGATTTTTTGTGTGTGCTTTATGACATGTTGTCAAAACTGATTAGAAATCAGTTTTTTAATAGTTTAGGAGGCAGCATCAATGGTATTAAAAGAAATCTAAAATGATATTCATAATAATTAAATTAAAAATATTGTATGCATCATCAAAAGCAACCATATATAATTCATAAATATTTTAGTTGGATTAGAAGCTATGCTAAAAACAATTCAAAATTAAAAAATTCAGTTCAAAATTACTGTTCCCATGGCTGATAGACTGGGAAGTCCATTATGACATAAGGCCTTCCACTGTGACATCATATCTACTATGTCAAGTAGGTACTGTAACAGTGTTCACAGGAAAAAGGACACAGTTCTTTATCTATTTTGATGGTTTTTACTCACAGTTCTGTTGAATGTGAATAAGGGCGTGTGTAAGACAAAGAATCAGTAATACAGAAGAAGAAAACAAAACAGTTAAACATGTAAGTGAGATTTCTCATTATCTAAGATGGTCTGGAGAACTTATTAAAATTATTTTTAATTACTATTTACCTTCAACTATATGTACCAGAACTGAGCTCATACAAAGACTCCATGTTCCTTCACACAATAATCTTTTTTTCTATTTTTAAAACATACATGTTTAACACAGATGGGGAAAAACATTGAGTATTCTCTGTATTTGTTTTAATTGCTTTTCTCTGTGGCCATTTAATTGATGTACATCAATCTGTTCTCTTAAAAGTACAGAGGGATCATTTTAAAGCAATTCTTCTGCTACAATAAACTGTCATTGATGCAGTACTTATTGTACATATGAGGATTTCTTACCATTTTTGACTGGTAGGCTTTTAGCAAAACAACACTAGTGTTAGGAGTTACTATGAGAAGTAGCTTTATTTTTCACCATAACATCAAATTATTTTAAATAATCTGAATACTTTAATCTAAAGTTATTTGAAATGTATCTTTGGGCCATGGTATCTTGCAGGACTGGAGTGCAAAGCTAGGTTTACTTGCCCAAAAAATAGCAATTATGTCTTTCACTAGTAACCTAACTTAGGGAATCTAAATCCAATTTAGTTCCAGTAAACAGACAGGTCATGTTGTTAATATCTGTAACATTCCTATTGCCATGTAAAGCTATATGAAGTTCCATTTGATTTCAAACTGACTGGCTCAAGGGCTGTAATATGGGTGAGGGAGAAATAATGGGAAAAGCACATATGGACTCTGATTTTTTTTAATGTTTTTTTTAAATTATTTTAATTTTAAATATTTTTATTATTTGGTTTTATTGTATTTTTTAACTGTATGCCATGCAGAGTCACATTTGTAAGATGGTGGCTATAATTCACTAATAAACATGAAGCTGATATACGTTCATGTAAGATTTTCTTACTGTATTTAATCCCAAAAACAATAAACGGATGAAATAAGGCAATTATTGTCTTAATTCTCTGTCTGAAGGGCACCCTCTCGGTGTTTTATCTGCTTTAAGGCTCAAGGAATAATAAAGACATTGATTATAGCCATGTTAAGAAATTCCCTCACTGGAGAGCATTAATAATGGAGTCCGGCAACACTCATCCTTTTGAAGGCCAAACTGTATTTCTTTGATACCAGAAATTGCAATATCAAACCTTCAAAGCTAGGGATGGAAATGCCATATTTATGTAAGTCAGAGTAACATGTAATCCATGAGGGCAGAGTTGGTAAACTAATGAAAATAGGACTACAGCTTTATTAAGAATATAGAGTATTTATTAGAATAATGATTTTTGAGTGATGTTTCTTTTGTTTCCCTTACTTCCCCATAAATGGCTTCATCTCCAAATATCCCTTCTCCTTGTTACCAACATTCCTTTGCCTTCTAAGCATTTTAGGGCATTTTTATTGCTTCCATAATGGATCTGGGGAGCGGGTGTATAATCCATTTAGCCTACTTGGCATCATTTTTCATTTTCAACTTATCAGTTCCTAAAATCCAAGAAAATCAGACGGACAGAAATATTAGTAACAGGTTTCTCATATGAGGTTTAATATTTGCAAATCAGAATTTTTTTTCCAATGAATTAGGAATTTGAATGTTGTGCAACACTAGACTTTAGCTCTTTCTTCTTTCATTTATGTATTTCATGTAACTGATTCGATTTGGCAAGGGAAAATGAATCACCTCTAGCCTACTTTGGTTGATTTCTAAAGCTAAGAAAGACTGGCCCTGGTTATTATCTGGATAAAGGAATTTCCTAGAGCAGTCGTGGCGAACCTGTGGCACGCGTGCCAGGGCGGCACTCGGAGCCCTCTCTGTGGGCACACGTGCCATGCCCCGGAGATGGCAACCGTCCCTCTTCAACCAGCCGCCCGCTAACTTGCCGAGGTCCCAGTGGCCGGATGCATCCCAGCAGGCTGGTTTCCTTCCCCTCCGTCCCATCCCTCCTGGCCTCGCATGATCTCCTTTTCCCAGGCACGATCCACTGCATTGCCTCCTCAGCTGTTGGCTGGCCGTCCAGCTCAGAGGCAGCTTCTCTGAACTTCTGGTGGCAGGCTGTGGAGCCCCAGGGTGCACCGGCTGAGGGGCCGGCAGGCTGTGGCTGCTGACAGACACTGTTGGCCCCCATGCACTCGCTAGCCTCTGTGTGCGGGGGCCGATGGTGTCAGGCAGGACTGCCCCGGCTCTTGCTTCGCCCTGCGACAATGGCATCCCAGTCCTGCCTTGCCTTGCTTCGCCTCACCCCTCCTGCCCACTGCCTCACCTGCCAGAGACCCCCTGGATCTCCCCGAACCCTGCCTGGCCCCCACAGGCATCCCTCCATGAGCAACATCGAGGTGACCACGCCTACCTTGCCACACCCACCCAGTCTGCCATGACCACCACAACCACGCCCACCCAGTGGGCCATTCCCATCTGGCACCCACTGATAAATAAGTGGGTTTGGGTTGCAGTTTGGGCACGCGGTCTCTAAAAGGTTTGCCATCACTGTCCTAAATACTCCAGATCTATTGTTTAGACTCAAGAATAAAACAATACAATCCATAAAACAAAATCCATAAAAATACAAGCCATAAAACAACTGCAAACTACATTGCCAATGAAACTGCAGGCTTGATTTCAAAGCACCTTTACCTTTCTTATTTGCCCAATAACTACACTATTGTCTCTATTTTCCTTATACCTGTATATCCAGAAACAACTATATTTATGTGGCAGGTGCTATAATGTACGTCAATTTAAAGATGTAGAAATACGCTCATAAAATTCTCCATCTCTCTTCAAGACTCAACTGATTGTGAATTTCTGGCCAATTTCTGCCTATAACCTGTCTTGTAAAATCACAACCTATCTTTCAATATTTCATTAGCAGGGCTAATGTCAATGTGAAAACACTATCCGCCTGTATTTTTCCAGTTGTGCTTGCTCAGACATACCATCTGTTTTTAGTTCTCTTCCAAAGAATATTTTATCTTGTAACAGCTGCTCTGAAAGTCCTACCAGTCACAGAGGACGAAATGTACAATAGCCACCCTTGTATCATAAATTCTACTAGCTCCTTCCCATTAGTTTATGCAGATCCTGTACATGTATAGTTTGAACAAAGATGATCAAAACGCGAGACAGGAATATTTTAAAGTAGGAAAAACTTCTTTTAAAATATTGAAAAAAAAAAGAATTATAAATATAAAGGAAGCTGCAAGAACTTAGTTAGAGTTCAGCTGACCAACACTGATGTATTTCCCACTAGGAACTTAGAATCACACAGGCATTATAAGATATAAGGTTTTTCCTCATTTTTGTTTTTTAAAAAAGAGGGAAAATAATTATAGATAACTCTAGAAGATCCTATAGGTTACTAGGGGAAAATAAGTTTTAAAGCATCTGAAAAATCAAGGAAAATGTTCTCCGGTGTATAAACTATATGCAGGAAATGTGATAAAATTGAGTGATACTAAATGTAAGTTTTGATCTCACTTATGAATTATTTATGAGACTTATATACCGCTTTAAATGCAAGCACTCTCTAAGCAGTGTACACCAGTAAGCAATGTATATCTATCTATCTATCTATCTATCTATCTATCTATCTATCTATCTATCTATCTATCTATCTATCTATCTATCTTTAATGTGTATAATATATATTTACATTGCCCCCAACAATCTGGGTCCTCATTTTACCTTGTTCAGTATTCTTTTATTAAATCTATAATTTGGAGCTGATTGCTGTATTTAGGAGTAAATTTACATGAGTTAAAGTTGTGCATTAAAATAAAATAAAAATTAAAAAGGGTCATTTTTGTGCAGCCACAGAAAAATCTGAGGTTGCTTTATTCCAAACTATTGATGTACAAGAGCCAGTTTGGTATAGTAGTTAAAGCATGAGGCTAGAAACCGGGAAACTGTGAATTCTAGTCCCAACTTGGGCTCAAAACCAGCTGGGTGACCTTAAGCCAATCCCTTTCCCTCAGCTTTGGGAAGCAGGCAAAGGCAAACCACTTCTGAAAAACCATGTGAAGTAAACTGCTGGAAGCTGTCCAGACAGTTTCCAAGAATAGAAAATGATTTTAAAAATGATATAAAGGGACTTTGTCTCCAAATATATCTTCAGAGCCAGGATTTTAATTATGTAAGTATCCACTGGCATCAAATTAAGCAGGTTTTGGATGAATTTTCTCCACTTTGGTCATGCAGTTTCCTTTTTCAAGGGAATTCTGGGGTTATAGCCCTAATGCTCAAGGAGAGTACCAGCTTGATGAAAGGGGATGGAGAGGTGAGAGAAACAGACCAGTTCTAGTTTAGAAAGCTTTACTACAGAATTGCCTGCAGAACAGAGCAACTTAGATAATCACTTACAAACAAAGCAAATGCACCAATTGGCTATTACTTCAGGTTGCCTCAACTGGGGCTGTGGATGAGATGAAAGCAACGTCATGAGAATCCCACACATAATTGTCCCGCGTATCTGGGTTGAACAATGAGTTCTTGAGGGGACTGTACTACTTTTTTTTCAAAAATGGAGGCAACATTCCCCCTTTCAAGGACATCACTGTCCTGATTCCAGAGACAACTTCTCTGGAGGCTTTTGCAAGCCCAAAAGGACAAGGGTCCAGACTACAGATGGTTGTGTTACTAATCCTGCAATAAATGCTGTCCACTTCCTCAGGAGAGAAAATCAAATTCATTCCAGAGAACATAGCAGGATTTTCACTAAAGGACAACATCTTGCTTGTTTTGTGGCTCGGAGTCAGATCTATACCCAGCTATTGTAGTTCTATAAAGCCAGTTTATAATCTAACATGGTGCATGAACTCAGTTACCTATGCAATAAATTTTGTTAAGCAGAACCATGGCTTGGTACAATCTTCAAACCCTTTACCACAAATAACCCCAAAATGTGAATCAAGCTTCAGTGTGTACATGATCAAAAGGTAAAGCATAAATATTATATTAGTAACCAAATTAATTTATACATAAGTGCAACAT